GACGTCCCCGTCGTGCAACCTGGGTACTAGTATATCCTAGTAGCGAACAAGTACTATTATATTTTCCAGTTCAATTTTATGCTTTAATTTTTTGTTTTCTTTAGGTAGATTATTCGTAGATAAGGTTATTCTGAGTGTTTTGATTTTTGTATATATACCTGTAAATTTGGACATTAACTAAATAAATCAATGATCCTTTTCTTTAACGTGGTCAATTTTTATTCTATTTTATAAAAAGTGATGAAATCAAAAGTTACATCAGAGTCTGACTAAAAAATCTTATAGCTTAATAATTTGTTATTAATATAATAATATAAATTCATCTTCCCTTCTTTTAAAAAAAACCACTTTGCATTACTCTCTCTCTCTTTCTCTCAATTCCATAGGCACGCACTGTCAGTTAATGATGGTGCAACTTGCAGATCAAAGCTGCGGAAGAAGAAAGAATGATTTTCTTCAACCAAAGAAAACTTTTAACCGTAAACCTTATCATAAGAGAACACCAAAATGGCAACAAAGGAAAAACAATAATTGGAAAAAAGCTTCAAATGAAAAGATACGGATGATAACCCTCAAAAAAAAGACTTACATTACCATCAAAATCTTATCCAAATCGATGAAATAATAATTATCCAAAACAAATCGATGAAGATGGTGTACTTTTATGTTTGGAAGACGTTCAGTTATTCAAGACCCACCAGTTATTAAATCTGGAGATCATAGATTAAAATATAAATCTGTTCAAGAAATTATTGATTTGTTTTCTACTGTTTCTAATAAAATTAATAAAATTTATAAATATCCTGTGAATGATATGACTGGTACATATCAACGATCGATGATAAGGTGTTAGTACGACTCATTTAGGTCTGTCTCCATTGGAAAGTCGAAATGCTTTTTCCATAGTTCCAGTTTTACCTAACGAGGAAAGTCAAAAGCACTTCAAAATCTACATATTTCTCCATACCTGAGTTATATGAACCAACTTCGATGCATTCTTTGTTTAATGATGATACCTTTGGTAAGGAAAAATCGTTTAATATTGACAACGATCGTTTTCCACATTTTTCGTTTTCGACGGAAGATATAGAACAGTTTAACACCCTAAAATGGGCACGTAATGAATCTGCAAACCAGATAGAATCAAGGAAACGCATTGCAGGACCAATCAGTCGACTTCCTCCTCTGATAAAAAAAAAAAAGAAGTTTCAATGATTTTCTATAAAATGGAAAAGGTTTAATTTTTTTTGTATTAGCCACTTTCACAAGTTTAATAACAAAATTGGCGGACATCGCGATAACGTTATGACGCAGTATCGCAGTAAACGCGAAAAAACTCTGTAATAAAAAATTGCTTTGTATATTAAATATTTATAAATAGTTTTTTTTTTAAAAAAAAATATTTTTATTTTATTAATTTTTATTTTTAAAAATTTAAAAATAAATTTATTAAAATTTTATAAAGTAATATTATATATAATATTATATATATTAAAACTTTAAATTTAAAATTAAAATAGATTTTAACAAATATCCTTATATAGATTACTTTAATATTAAAACCATATATTTGTATTGTTATTATAAAACTTTAAATTGTTAATTGGTATCATTTTACTAATGATTTTTTAAGATCTGGATTATCTGGATTTATTAAAAGAACCACGAATGAAGAATTATTTTATTATATTATTCATATAAGTTAATCAAATCTTAAATGTTTTCATTAAAAGTTTTCATTTATTTGATATCATTTTAAAATATAACTTTAAAACTCATCATATGCCTAATTTCAAAAACACCATTTGAAGATATGGTAAAAGTTATTGGTTCAGATTTTTAATATACAATCTTTGCAATAGAAGGGGAAACTGTCGGAAAAAATCAATTTTACTTTTAATATGGCAAAGATGATTTAGGCCAAGATATATAGCATTAACTCATTTTTTTTATTTATTTTTTCTCGGCAGTTTCCCCCTTTTATTGTCAAAAGTTCCTAAAGTTAAAAGGTTGATTCACAAAATTATTGTGTTATGATGATACTAAAAAGATTTCGAGGAATTAAGATTGAGAAAGCAAAAGGTATTATAAAATTATATGCCAACAAATTATTTGCATAGTGATCATTGCTTATGGAACAAGTAATTTATCCTTTCTAGCGATGACATACATGCACCAGGTCCTATAAAACTTCTTGGTTTCTGAATTTCGAGCACCACAAGTGAGTACTAAATATTGATTCATCAGATTTGCTTCCGATGTAAGGATGAATTTAATTAAATATTCAGGACGTCATTATGCTTGCGCAAGAAATATTTGGGATATTTTAAACATATGGGTGGTATGCTATTTAAAATTGAGGTACGAGACATAGTAAATCATACGATCCGTACCTCAATTTTAATAGCACACCACCCATATAATGAGCATATTTTTTTTTTAGAATTTACTCTACGAAGCTATAAAAATCAATATATACTTTTGTGTATTTGTTCAAGTCCGATTTCGCGTAATCATTAGTTTTTTGAAAAGCGTTATAATATCTTCATAACCGATCATAAATGCACATTCATGTCAATCTAAAATTTGTTTCATCTTATTTTATTGTTGCAGCTCCACATAAATGAAACTTATCAATTTAGCATTTCTCCACCATTGGAAGTTACAGTTAATATCGGAAGCCTTAAAATCCATTCACCCCTCATACCCCGGTGTTATCAATAGAAAATCATATTGGTGTGACCTAGTAAGAGTTTCAGGGTGTATGAAACACAACACCAATAATTCGTTACTTACAATGCGATTTTTACATCAAGTTTTTTGTTAAATCATTCAAGATTCCAAATAAATAAATAAATAAATAAATGTTTGAATGTAATGTAATGCAATTCTTTCAATTAATTCCGAAATCTTTTTGAAAAATTTTCGTAATACAAATAATATAAATAGGAACAAAGTTCATCATCGAACCCTTTAAAAAAAAAAAAAGATGATCCATCAACATACATCAGATGGTTTTCCCAAAACTCATCTTTCTACAAATGAATTGAATTCAGAAGATGAAGGAAAACAATTGAATAAAAAAGATATTCAAATAGAATTATTTGAATCAGTTGTAATATTTCGTGGGAATGTAAATGAATCTGTTGGGTCATTATTAAGGGGTGAAATTCAATTGACATTGAATAAACCAGAAAAGATCATCTCTATTGAATTACAATTTTATGGAGAAACAAGAACCTTTAGTCTAAGTTGTATGTAACTTTTTTTTTTTTTTTTTAAAAATAAAAATAAAAATAAAATATTAATAAAATAATATTTTTCTTTTTTTTTTTACACAGCATTCGGAGCAGCCACGGATGATAAAATTGAACTTATTTCAAAGGATATATCCTTTCTAAATTATTCAAAATCTCGTTCAATATTTTGTAAATTATTTTCTAAATTACCAAATAAGCAAAATTATTCAACATTTTCATCAGGAATTCATAAATTACCATTTGAATTTCAATTGCCAGGATCACTTCCGGAATCAATCAAAGCAAAATTGGGATCAATACAATATAAATTAAAATGTAAGGTTAATCATATTTCCAAATTTCATTCAAAAACCCTTTCAAATTTTCGTCAAGTTGAAATAATAAGATTACCAGATTATGTCAATTATTCGTACGGTATAGAAATATCGAGAATTCATGAACAAATTGTCGAGTATCAATTGTCAATTCCAAATAACTCTTTTCCACTTGGTGACACGGTTCCTATTCATATAAAATTGATACCTCTAATTAAGAAATTTAAATTACATTCAATACAAATTCGATTAGTACAAAATGTTACTTATATAAATAATGGACGTAAAAATGAATACATTCAATATTTAAATCATTCACAATTTGACAATGTAAAGGAACTTAAGGAAGACGATTATTGCGAAGAGAATGAAATTGGAAATTCGATTTATGAAAAGGCTCTCATGTTTGAATTACCTAAATGTAATAATAATATGATATATTGTAGTTTGGATACTCCATTAATTGAGATTAAACATGAATTAGAATTTAGTTTTTTAATTAGCTTGCCGAATAATAATGATAGAAAGAAAACATTTGATGATAGGGTTAGGATTAGTGGTACGGGTAGGATCAGGATTAATTTATTAAGTTGCATGGCGGTTGGAGATATTATTAATTTACCAAATTATGAGGACACAAGTTTTTATTGTCCTTGCCATCCTGAATATCAAAGGATCGCTCGACGCGTGCTTGGAGATTCTGATGATGATGAAGAACATAATAATTGCACGTGTAATTATACAACAGTTGAAAATTGTTTTCATGTTAATAATCCACCAAGATATAGTTATCTTTATTAATAAGCTATATTATATTCTTTTCATTAAAAAATACATATACATATATATATATATATATATATATTTTATCGTCTATCTCTAATATAACCAAATACATCCCAAATCAAAAAAAAAAAAGATATAAAACTTTCTGGAATTCAAATAACATAAATTAAGTAACGAAACGAAAACAAAAATCAAATCGATAAAAAAAAATTTGAATTCCCAAAATATGATAAGATGAATTGTAAGCTACATTATTAAATAAATAAAATAAAGACGAATAAAATGTAAATTTTATAATGTAAGATAGTAAATAAATAAATAAATAATTTAAATTAATCTATTTTTTTTCGTTAATTATTCAGTGCTATCATTACTGCTCATACTATCAACACTATCAACCCTTCCTAATTTGTCTTGATCACCACTTCTATTTACTTTAGAAGCAGTAGTCGCTGTAGGTTTATTTTTACCTCTTGATATTTTACCACCACTTCTACCATAAGATGAAGTTCTTTTTATCGAACGTGTACTGTTGATGCTATTATCATTACTAGCCGTTAAAGATGTAGAATGCTTTTCAGCGGAAGAAGTTTTCTTTTCGGTACTAGTTTGTTGTGTTTCAATTAAAGAAGCACCCGCAACTCCACCAGTGCTTGTAGTAGTTTGAGTTTCCCCACCGCTCGTAGTTATGGTGGTAGTAATAACTTTGCCTTCGTCACCATTTTCATCACTAGTTACAGTATCATATGTAACATTTGTCTTAGAGCTACTTGATATTTCATTTCCACTCTGGTCTATTTTAGTGGTTGTTACTGTGACGGTCGTTTCACCATTTTCGGTTTCAGTTACTGTTCTAGTTGTTGTCGTAATTCCGTTCGCATCTGTTTCACTAGAAGTGGATTCTTTTGTTTGTTTCCCTGTTTGTTTTCTCGTTGGTATTCTTGAACTACCAATTGAAGTCATGTTACCACCACTACCACTACTACTTGTAATATAAGTGGTTGTTGTTGTTGTTGTCTCTCCACCTTCGAGAGTTTCTCCACCTGTAGTAGTAAAGTGTTCTCTTTCTCCTCCAATATATTCTATATCACCACTTCTTGTTGTCTTTGTCGTTGTTGTAACGTATTCACCACCATCACCACCATCACCACCATCACCACCATCACCACCAAATGATGTTATAACATATTTCCCACCAACATCACCAGTTGTTGTAGTAATATATCTTCTTTCATCAGAGATCATGATATATTCTTTATCATCTGTTGTTATAATGAGATATATTATTTCTCCCGTAGTGGTATAAATATATACTTCAACACCATCATCACCTGTTGTTGTAGTAATAGATCTTCTTTCCCCGGTGGTTGTAATAAAATATTCATTATTATCATCACCTGCAATTTTTGTAATATATCCTCTTTCCCCGGTAGAGATAATCATATATTCTTCATAATTTGTTGTGGTAGTAATATACCTTCTTTCACCGGTAGAATATTTCTCATCGGTTATCACATATTCAACAGGTAATGTTCTAGTAATGTGTTCTACTCCGCCATCTGATGTTGTCATGGTGGTCTTCACAATTTTAGTGGTACTGTTGTGATCCTTTTCATCACCGTCCGTACTAGTAGTGACGTATTTGGTTGTCGCGACTGCTGCTCCGGCAATTCCTGCTCCGGCGGCAATTTTCAAATCGTTTCCAGTATCACTTTCCTTACTGGTAATTGTCTCTTGACCTGTAGTTTTTGACGTAACTGTGGTTATTTTGTTATTGGTATCATCAACATAACCACCTCCACCAAATGAATACAAACCAAATCCAAGTACTGTTGAATTTGATGCTCCTGCTAAATTATCTCCTTCCGATTTTGTTCCTTCTGTTGAGTTGAGATATTTTGTGACATTATTATAATTTTCTATAGTACTATCTCTAATTGTACTATCTGTAACTGGTCTCACAGTTGTACCAGAAATGGTGATATCTTTTGTTACCTCAATATTGTTTGTATTACTGGTATCATCTTTCTTTGGCTTCTTGCCAATACCGCCAATAAATGTAGAAATCCTTCCCTTATTGTTATTTTCATTTTGTGCTGAAGTCTTTGGTTCTTCCTCGGCTGGTATTGGACTAATAGGTTCGTCCTCAACTGGTTTAACATTTCCATAAGATTCAACCGGTGCGGATTGACCTTCATTAGTGTTTGGAGTATCTCGTAGTCCTTGTGCGCCATCCGTAGGTTTATTTGATTTACCAATTGGTCCATCTGATGGTGAATAATTTCTTTTTGTTGGTGGTACATTAGCAGTATCTGTTCTATCATTTCTTCTTCCTGTATCTGTATTATCGGGAGCGTAATTTTGATTTTTTGAACCAGAATCACTAGAAGAACTACTGCTGCTACTATCATCGTCAATAACTTTTTCTTTATCACTTAGTTGCCTCCTACCATTTTTATAACAGCACGTGTAAAATATTAGGGCAGAAAATTTCAGGAATAAAACAATTATACATGATGATAAGACAAGAATTGGTACTATAGCCGGTTTAACGTATTTTGATAAATAAACACTATAAAAAATAAATTGAGGTAAATCTTCGAAAAATGCTACGAATCCGGTTGAAACCAGGATTAATCTCTCGGCTTTTTGTGAATATGGAGCACTCAAAGTTGGAATTCCACCAGCTTTTGATGATACTTCTTGTAATGCATCCGTATCAATAATTGATGATGCTATAAATACATTTGCCGCGATTGGATGATTTTGCTTCCATGTTTTAAGTGCTGCATTTTCTTTATCAATTCTATTTATATAAATTGTAAATAATAAATTGAGAAGCATTGGAACCAAGAAAAAAACGAGACTACAATAAAAAATAAATTAATAAATAAATAAATTATGTCAAAAAGAATTGCTTCGAAATTTTCAATTTAGAGGTTCCTTACCATATGGGGAGAACCCATTTGTAATCTCTTCCATGAATGGACATGAATGCAATGTCTAAGATTATATCAATTGGGATAAATGCAAGACAGAATATCGCCAAAAAGTTTCGTCCTCTCTTATTTTTCCCTCGAGCCCACCATACCAATCCGATCAATATGAACAATAAAATAAAGAATCCGATAAGAATAAACTTGTATTTGTTAAGGACTTCGGTTCGAGGAGCTCCATTTGACTCATCAAGATAACTAGCGCTATCGCCATTCGATAATGAATTGTATGCTTTATATTTAACGACTTCATCTAAATTATCTATAAGTTGCCCCGAACTAGCTTGTTCAGATGATACCGATTTTTTGATGTCAACTCTCATTATGAATTGATCTTCTTTGGTATTAGCATCGTATTGATATTTTTTGGTGGTTGTTAAACGACCTGGTTCACATGAAATTGCCCTTGAAATTTCTTCGCTCATTTTATTTACAAATGTTTGTCTATCATCTGAAGAAAAATCTTTATAAATTTTCGTTCCATCAACTGACAATCTGATAATTGCACTAGCTGATCCAGCTGAGCCTAAAAGATAATAGTTTTCTTAATATAAAGCAAATCGAAGATTTTTTTAAAAAATAATATATATAAATATATACCTTCTACAGTATTTGCGTTAGCCGCGTTTGCGTCTTGAGGAAAAAATTACATTCATATTTTTTTTTTGAATTAGTATTAAAAAAAAAAAAAAAAAAACAACAGAAAAGTATTCATGTGATTCCTTTGTGTACTTACTACTTGCGTTGAAAGTCCAAATTTTTGATCTAATTCCTATAACGTTTTGACCATTTGATTGTTCCTTTACGAAATCATTATCAACCTCAACATAATAAGGAACATTAGGAGCGTTATACGTGTTTAGAGTACTGTTCAATATTTTAAGTTTAACAATATTATCTTGAACCGTAACATATTGCTCATCTTTTGCTGAGACTGCTTGTTTTAAGATCACGTCAGTTCCATTAACTTGGAATACACTGAAATTTCCGGTTGAAACCACTATAGGTATCGTATATGTAATGGTAAATTCTTCTGTTTGTTTCGTACCTAATGGTACTGTTACTGTAGATCCTTTCGCTGGGGTTGTGGATAATATTTTAGCGCTTCCATATCCTCCTGGTCCTCCCGGTGCTGTTCCATCTCCTCCTTCAACTATATAAGAATTTTTAGAATTTTCTCTTTTTAAAGAAAAAAAATTAATTTAGAAAAAAACTTACTTGTAGAATAGTTTGTTAAATCATCAGTTGAAGCGATTTTAATACTTTCACCGCCACCAGTTCCAACATTTGAAGAGTCATTGGGAATACCAACAATCGTATTATTTGGAAGTACAACAACGTCAACGTAAGAATATTTATCAGAAAGACCCCAAAGTATAGTTGCATTATACACCCCTTCATTATTAACAACATAACCATCATTCTTTCCGGTAGTACTGTCCTTTGTTACAATAACATATCCACCATAAGCTAATGATTCAACATCCGTCACAACCTTTTCGGCCGTAATCTGCGGTACTACATATTTTGGTGTTTTAGTAACTTTACCGTTACTACCTGTGCCTAAAAAGTCAACTTCAGTAAATGTTGTTTGGCCTCCATCGACTGTTTGAATTATGCAGCTGTATCCTGATGATTGGTATGCTATGTTACATTTGAATATGTGTAATATGATAACCGTTGTTGCCGTTTCTTTGTAAATTTCATAAGGTCCAGATGTTCCAATTGTGGAATCTTTTGGGATAAATGTAACGAGAATACTCCATGGCACGGAAAATGTTGAAGAACCATCAGCAGATTTACTCGTCACTATACAATATCCACCATCTTCTGTTTGGAATACGTTTGTAAAATTGGCATCAAACGTGTATACTTCGGTTATTTTATTCGTTGCAATTTGGTTTACTTCTCCTTTTGTATTTCTAAATGAGTCAATAAATCACGTGAGTTTGGGCAAAAAAAAAGGAAAGATGATAAAACGTGAATTTGAATCTGAAACTTACGGGGCTCCAAAAGTGGTCCAAACGGCTTCTTTGGTTTCAGACTTATAACAAACATGTAAAAATCCTCCTTTGACATTAATGCTCTCAACTATTTTACCATCAGTGCATGATTTCTCGAAAATGATCTCACTGAATTTAATTAAGTACGGCGTAAATTTTAATTAGTAAATAATCCGAATGAAAACATATGAATTATAACAAAATATCTTATGTACCTGAATACTGCTCCTTCCCAATTGATCGTCTTACCGCAAACGTCATTATTTATTGCCGGATTACAATAATATGTGACCAAGATAAATTTTCTTTCAATTGCATAAATCGTTATACTATCCGTCAAAGTTAATTTACATTCTGGTAAATCAGGATTTTTATCGCAATAACCAACTTGACATCTCACAGATTGTGGGACTTGTGCACATACATCGCATCCAACAGCATACGGGTTATTATTACAATCATTACATCCAGGCAAATTTGGGTTATTGAAACAATCCGGTTTTTTGTTTATACATTCAGGAGCTTTTGGATATTTTATACAGTCCAATTGATTAGAAATGCACCCTACAGCATTTGGATTAATTTCGCAATTAGGAATATTTGAACAACCTGGAGCTTCAGGGGTTTTTTTACAATCAACGTTTCCACACCCCGGGCCATATGGATTTTGAGTACACTGTTCACATCCTGGCGCATTTGGTGTCGTTGAACAATCGACACATCCTGGTGCATTGGGAGTTTTTGAACAATCGACACATCCTGGTGCATTGGGAGTTTTTGAACAATCGACACATCCTGGTGCATTGGGAGTTTTTGCGCATTCGACGCATCCTGGTGCATTAGGAGTTTTTGAACAATCTGCCGGAGCTTTAGCACCACAATTAGGAGCACTCGGAAATCTGACACAGTCCAATTTGTCACCATTACATCCGTCCGCATCGGGATTATTTCCACAGTCTGGAACGTTAGCACAACCTGAAGGTGCGGGGTTTTTTCCACAATCTACATTACACCCGGGCCCATAAGGGTTTACATCACAATTCGACGGTGTTTTTGCAGCACATCCGGGGGCATTTGGGTTGTTCAAGCATGCATCCGCGTCACCACATCCGGGAGCCTTCGGATTTGTTGAACACGTGTCACAGCCGGGTGCCTTTGGATTTGCCGAACACGTGCCACATCCGGGAGCATTTGGGTTGTTCTCACAATTCTGAGGAACTTTAGCACCACATCCAGTCGCACCAGGATTCTTTGCGCAAAAGGTTTGGCATTCATCGGAACCAGGTTGATTTGTGCAAGCATTTGGTTCATTTGGCACTTTTGGTTCTTTAGGATTTTTAGGGTTGCAAGTTGGATTGCCGGGATCTTTTCCACAATCAGTTTCGCTTTTAGGTTTTTTACATAATTCAGGAAATTTACTACAACATGCATCAGATGTGGAACCTGCACCATCACACTCTGGATGCCTTTTAACTAGAGCCTTTTTTGAAATTGAACAAAAATTATCTTCAGGAATGTTGTGGTTTTCAATAGTTAAAGCAGTGAATTTTCCATCAGGTTCGATTATATCTAACCATAATTTTGGTTCATTACAATTTGCTTTGTTCCCTAGTTTGGTTAATCTTAATAAGAGACTTCCATCCTTATAACTTGTTCCTTGTATTATCCTAAGATCCTTCTCAGCGTCATAAGTTAAAAATGTTTCATCCGCAGAAGTCAACTGTGACAAGAAAATTGTGGTGAAACATATGTAGAATAATATCATCATCATAGGTCCTGATAATGTATTATTTATGAAAAGTCCAAGAGACGCACTCTTTTCTACCCTATAAAGTTTATTATTAATACGTTGCAGCAGCATAATTTTTTTTTTTTAATAATATTCCTTTCCTTTTCCTTTAAAAGAAAAGAAAAAAAATTATTATTAATTTTATTTTATTTTTTTTTTTATTAGCTCAAAGGGCAAAATATCTTTAGGTGCAGAGAACAGGAAAGAGTAAACCTAATGGACTTGGGAGAATCAAATTTTGCGGGATAGACACTAATAAATGCAAAAAAAAAAAAAAATGTATGCACAAAAAAGGGCACAAAGAAGTTACAACTTCTCAAATTGTACTCCTCATACTCCTCATACAAATTTTACTGCAAAAAGTGTTACAGTAACATAAAAAATAAAAACAATGCATTTTATATATATATATATATATATATTTACACGGAAAGAGTAATTTTGATAATTACAATTAATTTATTCAATTAATTAATTTAAATTAATCATATTAAGAAGAAAAAGAAAAAAAAAAGAGACCCGGGGGTGCGCATTTGCTATCACAATTGAATCAATCGTACAGAGGAAATGTAATTAAATCTATTTGACAGTATTTTCGTACTTTTTTTTTCGTAGGTCGTGTTACATTTCATCCGAACTCTAGGATATTCGGCCGCAACATCGATGTGCGTACAAACATAAATATATATATGAATTGTTTTATAACTAATCAAGTTATTAATACAGAAACGAAAAAGGAGAAAAAAAATATAAGATAAATCTTATCTATAAATAGCTAATAAATAAGTTAACCATGCCTATAAAGTATCTTTTTATTCATAAGGAAGATGAACTTAGATAAAAATGACCAACAGAACAATGAATGGCTGTTATTAATTAATCGGGTAATAATGCTGGATTCATTTTCATTATTAATATATTTTTGGTGAAAAAAAATATCAGCCCAATTACATCAGATAAATTACACGAACCATTTTATTAAGGGAAAAAACTGAACATGCGTCATTTTACATTGAAGGGGATTTCAGTCCTTTATTTTATATTTTTTTTTTAAAGAAAAAAAAGTCTAGATTGGTCATTTCATGGGGGAAATAGCGCGAAAGTTCTTTTTTCTAAATTAACATATTTAGTTTAAACGCAACTTTAAAGTTTTTTAGATGTCATTAAACTTATTTTTAATCTGTTTGCATTCCTAATAACAACAAAAGGGAAAAGGGTTTTTGTCGAATCAGATTCTTGGCGGAATTTGAAAATCGATTTAAACAATATCAATGGTCAATGATCATTTTCTTATTATAAAATAAATTTTTTTTTTCAACTTCATTTTTTTATTTTACAATGAAAAAAAAAAAAAAAAAAAATTCAGAAAAAAGAATCCACATAAAATCGTCAGTTTTTCTCAGGGCTATTAATAGCAGTTCATTTTTATTATGATAGTTATTGAGGCATAAACAAGTTTATACTCAAGTTTTTTTTACAAGAAAAAGTAAAAAAAAAAACTTTTTATTTATAGATACTTTAAAATATAGTTCACGGATTTCTATTTAAAATTTCCATTTTTTTATTATGAGAATTCTAAATAAGAAATTTTAACAGAACAAGCATAAAGTTGCATATATTATGGTTACACTGTTTTAAAGGTATGTTACCACTTTTGATGTTAAAAAAAATTCTTTAAAATTCATAATTTATCCTTTTAAAAATGTATAATTATCCGAGATTAAAAAATCAACGAAGCGTGGCTGGTATTAAACAAGCGATGTTGTATTGCACATGCTTATTTGATTGGATGAGAATCCATTTCGAAATGAAGTTGAAATGATTGTTTTGGACAATATTTAAATATCGTGCATTACTTTTGTTATTATGAAGGATTAATTAATTGCATTGTTTAAAGTTGAATATTGTAAAATATTTATATATTAAGCACATGAGATGATAACATCCTTCATCAGTAATCAATCCAAGTTCATGTTGAATTTTGATCCATTCATATTTTTAGAATTCTCAAGTAATGAATGTTATAGGTTGCATTTTTTAACACTGTTTAAATCAACTTTATACTTGTTGTCATCGAAATCATCCATTGTCATTTCTTATATCGAATGAATGTGGAGGTTTGAGAGATTAAAAAAGAAGCGCAAAGACGCTGCACAGATTCTTATCGTCACATGAAGATTAGTATCTGTAATTTTTGGACACCATTCTAGCCAATAAATCTTATGCTTTTAATAAAAATCCTTGTATCCTTTCCGAAAAATTACGACAAATCACATGATTTATCATGCCATCGATAAGTTTGACTGGAATTAGAAAAAAAAAAATTATTGATTTTGTTACGATGTAGAGGGATGTGATTAGATGACCCGATGAGTTGCATGTCGATGATTTTTCATGCACTGTATGCTACTCTAATGAATTCCAAAAACAACGAAAAAAGTTCATTAGACTTAAAATTATAATTGGAAATATTTGTTTGTACAAAGATTTTGTAAAAAATAACCAATTCCTCGACGGATTCAGACACGGTTGGAAGGCATGACCCATGACCGTGAATTTCATTTGTCCACAATTAAAGATACCGAAGATCACATCATCATGTATAATAACAAAGATAAGGCTAAGATATTGTTTTGAACCCAAATTAAAATTGAGAAACATATTCCATCTTCCTAAACCTTTGTAAGTTGTTTCAAATACGAAAAATAAATTTTTGTTCTTGCGTGTGTTCTAGAATTTAGCATTAAAATTTTTATTTTTCTTGGGAATTATGAAACAACAAGAATTGCTTTTATTATTGATGATAATATTTAAGGAAAGATTCGAATTATTGTTTGCAACATTGTATGACTTCGTTTGCTAAATAGGTTTAAAGGCGTAAAAAAATATTCTAATGAAGTTAGTGTATAACTTCACTTACAAGCCTTAAATGTCCATGTGTCTGTTTTTTATGGGTTATAATAAAATTGTCGTAATTAACACAAAAATTTAACTTCATAATAAATGACTAATATTGCATTCGTAGCAAGACGAAGTTCATTGTTCGAAATAAATGAATTATTTATCTGATGTATTATAATTTGATTTATTTGTGATCAGAGTGTATTTATTTATTGTTTTTTTTATTTACGTTCCACTTATGCTTTGAAATAAGGGACCACAACATATGTTAACCATTTTATCGTTAGTGTTGAATTCCAAGTGACAGTCAACCAGTTTTTGATGCTGAAACCCAATCTTAAATCATGTCATTTTAAAAAAAAAACCAAATCTTTTAATGTCAAATAATAAGGATCTTTAGAAATCAAAAACGGATTCATTCAATTAAATATAAATAAATTGAAAACTCCATTCGAGTATTTTTTTTTTTTTTTTAAATATATAGACTTGTTTACAAGATCCGCGGGCTAAAAACTGGACGCGGGTTGTTATTTTTTGAACCCTCATATTCCCATAAATTTTCCTTAACCAACATACCTTGGCACACCCACCCTTTCCTTCTCGGTTTTTCTTTATCATTTTTTTTTAAAAAAATTTTTTTTCCTTCCTTTCCACTTTTTTATGTTGTTTTTATTAGTCAAAGCGGATTGTATGATTTATTCATTTCCCTCCCAACAAACAAATCCAACTACTTACGCATCCAAACCCTTTTTTTGCCCTTTTTAAACCATTTTATTATAATTAAGTTATGCCAGTATATTCACCTTTGGTCGTTGTTTATGTCTGCGTGCAGTTGATAAGCTTATCTTTGCTAGTCACCCTCATTTATATCTTAATAAATACGAATCCTTATTTTACGAGGACCATCTTTCAACTTTGCATTTGCACCCTTATCACGGGCTTGTTAAGTTTACCATTAATAATAATTTACGGAAACAGTTTATTAGAGAGAGCTTTGGACACCCCTCTATGCATAATTCAAAATAAACTCGTGGGTTTCTTTAAATTTCCTTTAAAATTGTTACCGGCCGCCTTGTCCATCTATTTATGGTTGGAAACATGCTATAATTATCACATTGAAGACAAATACTTTTGGCATATTAGTGGAATAATTTGGGGTTTGACTATATTAGTAAATGGTATTGAATTGATAGTTACCAGTAACGAAGAAAATTGGGGTGTTCGAGCGGCCGTGTTGTCTTGTAAGCAAACTCCTTCGTACCAAGCATGGCTGAACTACATCATCCCTACTTCCGTCCTGGCCATTACGTCCACTATTATCACAGGTAAATGCGATGTTATTCAACACATGGGAAATCTTTAATATTAAAAATTTCATTATTATTATAACTTAGTTCATTCCGTGACCATTCTTTTCAGGAGATGGCGTAATCACACCCGAAATCAAAATCGTTACACTGCGATCACCCTCGGTGATGCCGCTAGATTAGTCGTCTTTAGCTTTTTCTATTCGTTCATGATTTTAGCCTCATTGATACCCTCAATTTTTTTGAAGATTAATAATGATCATGATCTTTCTGGGGACAATAACAAACTTACCTTCATTGATTTTGCTTCATCTACCTAGTATGTATGAATTTGGTTTAAAAATATTTTGATTTGTCTTCAATTTTATTGGATTCAAATTTAATTTTTCTTACAGTGGTACGATCCTGTTTATGATTTTTGGAACAACAAAAAAAGCTGCGCTCTTTCTCCCATGCTGTTATTATTCACCTCCAAAAGATCGTGTGGCGTATGTGCAAGACCATGAGTCGATAGACCTACAACCATATAATCCCGGAGGTAATGATGGTTCATCGATAAATCAACCTCCTTTACCGGACAGTCCAAAAATTGATTCGGGTTTTCAATCCGTCTCAAGCAGGATTACGATAATTGAACAGCAAGCTTAATCTGATAACAAAACCGTAAATCAAATTCATGAGAAAAAGAATTCTGCAAATTGGGTGTCTCAACAATTTAACCTTTTTCTTTTCTTTTTTTTTTTTCCTTTATTTTTTAATTTAATAATAACAAAAAAAAAAAAAAAATTAATAATAATAATAATAATAATCTTATAAAAATTCACAAATTATTATGTAAAGTCATTATAATTTCTTTCACAATCTTTTTTTTTATTTTTTATTTTTTATTTTTTTTAGAAAATATCTACAATTTTCAAACAAATTTTTTTCTCTCATTAAAAAATCAATTTGAATCCCGGAAAATTTCAATTTTAACTCTAAGATTTGGAAGTTAAACGTCAACTTAAAGTTTTTTTGGGATCGCTTTGGATACTTGCGCAATTACACGTGGAAATATTTTTGAATACAAGATTTGATCATTAGATAATTTTTTTTTTATTTTTTTTTTTATGATGGAAAATAATTTAGAGAAGATTTTTCTCATATAAAAAATAACTAAAATGGTAAGAAAAAAATTCTCAACTTTTTTTAAAAATGTATACAAAACAATTGAAGTAAAAATAAACAATTCTTTAAGTAGTTCAACTTCAGAATTATTAACAGTTATGCTGTAGTTGACATAACCCTTGTTTTACAAATGTATAGCATTTTTGAGTTTGAAAGCTTCAACATAGCTTGTACCTACTTGATCGTTTCTGCCATTTGTCATCAAGAGGATTTGTTTTACAAATTAATATTTAATTGCTGAGAATCTTTTTTATAATTTCTTTACAATATTATTGTTGTTTAAGTATTCTTTAAGTATTCGTTTTAATATTATATTTCTTTTAAGTTATCTTTCTAAATATCTTCTAATTATTACTTCTGCATATTATTTCTGAATGTTCTTCCGATTATTGCTTCTGAATGTTTCTTCTGAATGTTACTTCTGATTGTTTCTTTTAAATGTTTTTCTGATTATTTTTTCTTATGTTTAAGTATTCATTAAATATGTGTCATAATTTTCATTATTCTTTCTGAGTTTCATTTCTACATCATCTTTCTAAAATTAAAGTTTATATACAAGTGAAATAACTTTATTTATTTCCATAATTTAATTGTTCAACAATTAATTATTTCAAACATTTTTATTTGTATTAAAAGTTTATTTATTAAAATTATTATTTTTTTTTTATTATTTTGAAAATTGAACATATTGTTCCTTGAGGGAATCCAAAGGGTTTATATAATAAATTTACATAGTAAAAATGATGAATAAATAAATGACTACCTGTGACAATTAATCTAATTAATTGCCATGTGATATTTAATTCTATAATGAACATGTGATGAATAATAATTACATGTAATAAATAATTTAATTATTACTATGTGATATTTAATATTTACTTTATTTCTACTATTTTTCTTTTCTATTCCGTATTTTATTTCCAAATTTACTTTGTTTTTCTTCTGAATTTAATTTTACTTTTATACTTGTTTTATAAACGAACTTCTTCTGTTTTTATGATACCATGTATAACATTTATATTACACAAGCTTTCATAAGATACATTTTGTCATTTCCAATTATTGTATTCTTTATGTATGTTTATGTTATTTCTTCAAATTAATGTTTTCAAAATATTTTCTGTCTTTCTATAAGACACTCCATTCAATTGATTAATTATCTATTTTCTTAAACTTTCATTTAGTTTTTTAATTACCTATTTTCTTTCGGTAATTAATTTATCTGAATTATTCCTTCTCAAATTTATCTATTTCATATAATCTTCCTTTTAGTCTGTAATTTATTCTTCTTTCTTTTAATAAAGTATTATTCTTTTTATTATTCTATAATTTCTCTTGTAATTTGTTGTGTAATTTTATTGATCATTATCATACTTGTTGTTGTGTCTTAAATTATGAAATTGTTAACTTTACAATGTTTACAATTAAACCTATATATTCCTAATCAAATATCATATTTCTGATCATGCCCAATAAGAAAATATACATATTCTGCAAGGATTATGAAGATTCTGAGGATAGGTTCTAGCACTACTATAAACTAGCTCTTTAAATATAATAGTAAAATAGCAAAGTAGTATATTGTGAATACCATTGATACCATTGATATCCCGATCAAGCTCAGCTATACAACTTAAGCAACAGAACACTTTGGATTCACCCAATTTTTGATAGATATGATCATAGCACTCACAAGTCTTACTGGTATATATATAATTACCTGACATCATGAATACTCACAAACTTTGTGTAGAAGATATTGACAGAATTGGTAGTGAGACCATGTTAATATTATCAGTATTGTCTTAGAACGAATCTGCCATTTTTCATGTCTAACCATTTCTTGTGTCTTAAACTTAGACAACAAGATAATACAATAATTTTAATACAGCTATTTGGCAAATTTATGGTAACAATCATTAAATAAACAATAGATTTTTTATATATATACGAAGTATGACTTTGCAAAGTTTATAGTGTTTTCATTTGTGTACTTTTTCATGAATAGTAAAATATTTGCTTTGAATTTTGTCATATATTTAAGAAAGCTGATAAATTCTACTAATATCATTTTGCTATAGAATACAGTAGGGTTCTGCAATTCAATTTGATATTTGAATATTTGATTTGATTTGATCAAATTCAAATCAAAGAATGATTTATTTGATCAAATCTAAATTAATCTTTGATTCAATTCGATCAAATTCAAATCAAATATTCAAATATTTGATTTAATTCGAATCAATAGTAAAGCCATTTCCAAAGCTTCAGGAGTGATTTTTACTAAGAAAACTATAGTAAAAAGCATCTCTGCAGCTTCAAAAATGCCTTTTTTTACTAAGAAAACATAGTAAAAAGTGCCTCTGTGGCTTTGAAAATGCCTTTTTTCTAAGAAAAATATAGTAAAAATGCCTTTACAGCTTTTGGAGACGTTATTTTACTAAGAAACATAATAAAAAACGCCTCTGTGGCTTCGGAAACGTTTTTTTACTAAGAATCCTAGTAAAAAAATGCCTCTATGGCTTCAGAAATGTTATTTTACTAATAAACTTAGTAAAAAACGCCTTCACAACTTTGGAAACATTTTTTATAATAAAATGATTACGAAGCTGAGATGGCAGTTATTACTAAGTTTTCTTAGTAAACCAAAGCCGCAATGGTGGTTATTACTAAATTTTCTTAGTAAAACTAAGACTGCAGAGTTATTTTACTAAGTTTAATAGTAATAATTCACCTGTTACTAAACTTACTTTGTAAAAGCTATTTTTGAAATTTTTTAGTGCAATTACTAATAATTTTCTTAATTAAACCTTTATAATAACTTTATTTTAATATATCATTGTAAAAATTAAAAAAAATTTATATTCGATTCAATTCAATTCGATATGATTCAATCAATTTGATTTGATTTGATTTGATTTGATCAAATTCAAATTGATTCAAATTGATTCGATTAAATATTTGAGTTCAATTCAATTTGATTTGATTTGATTTGAAAAAATTAAATCAAATTCAAATTGCTTAAATATTTGATTTGATTCGATTTTGAGGAACCCTAGAATACAGCTTGTTCACTTGGATCATATCCAATTATAAATATCTGAACACCTGGATCTAGAGTAATCACTGCATTCTCTGATTGTATAGGATCTTGATTTTTGGCTCATATCTTAAGTAGTTGAAGAATACAAAGATAAAATTCTTCAAGTGATTTATTACAAGTCATGTATTGTAATGGAATTTTGCTGGAAGATTTTTGACTGACTTTATCTTATGAAGAAATGAATAAACTCCTTTAGATTTATCTCCAGTGTTTTGATAGAACTGTAATAGATTGTTATTGATCTTTTTTGGAATGAAATTTTATCTTAAATTTTATCCATTTTGCAGCAAATTTTGTTGAATATGATTTAAGCAAATCATTCATCGCTTCATCACAAATATCATAAGAAGTTTTGAGAACCTATTGAAGTTTAGTCTTATTGAAATTTACGACGTTAATACATTGTACTCACAAAGCTTTTTTTGTTCGCTTGATATCCTCTTTTTTGACTGCTATGAGACACTGATTGTAAGTCTATCATACTATTCCCATCTAGTATTTGAGTTTTAACTTCTTCTCTTATGTAAAAAAGAGACAAATACATTGTGTTTTGCCTGCTAGAATCTTAGAACTCTTGCTTTTTAACAGCTTCTCATTTTCTTTTACAATTGGCGACAGAATGCATTCTATTATTTCTTGTCACAAATACTGTAATGATTAAGAGCAAGTCTTCTGCAAGTTCTCCAGCTTCATTTCTTTCAGCAATAACATCTATACTGAGTATCACAAGCTGAGTCCTATTTTTCTCAAAGATCTATTTCACAAGCTCAGATCCAAATTGGCACAATTGGTCCTAATAAAAAAAAGTTAGTAAAATAATAAATGATAAAAATCAAAGTAAATAAAAAAATAAACCTTTTAGATAATCACCACTTCTTTGATTTCTCCCGTATGTATTCATTCTAAAAGGACAACAAACTCCCTGCATTTTCAATTAAATCCCAATCTGATATTACTGATGATTTCGTATTCTGGAGAGTATTGTTGAAGATGTTCTGAACTGACTCTGGTGTAGCAGATCTTGACCTTTTGCATGATTTGTGTCTGTTGGTTGTCTCTAAAGATTTCTCATATGTCAGTAATTGGTAAGTAGTCTTGTTCTGAGCCAGGTTGTAAAAAGGTTGTTAAAAAAGGTGATTTTTGTTTTAAAATGTGAGCTACTAATAGAACTGTTTTTTTTAAAAATTACTTTTCCTTATACTTGATATATAATGCGAAAATCTACACAAAGCTGTATTATAATCAAGTAGATTAGTAATACGAAAAGTGTGGTTTATTCGAGAATGTTCGAAATCGAAGCAACGACCATACAGTGAAACCCGTCTGATCTCCGAAGTTAAGCCACTGATGACTGGGTACTGTAACTTTTTGCTTTAGTTGTACGAAATGATTAATTGGCCTCGATAATCATTATTAAATAATTTGATTTTTGCAATATGAAGTTGTATAATGAAATGTTAATAATAATATACTACATTATGTTTTTTTAAAATTAAACTATCAAATTATCAAAACATCGTATCAATAAAACAATCAAAGTTTCAGTTACTTTGTCCAATATTGCGTTTCTTTTAATACGTAAGAAATTAAAATTCAAAAATTTTGAACTCAGGAACATTTTGTAATTTTTGCTCTTTTAAACAAAAATAATAATTAAAGGATTCGATTTTGTAAGTTAAATAATGAAGAATAATTTAAATGCAATGTCCAATTTATTGACGAGATGATCGTTCCCAAATCTAATGTTTGAATTTTCGATGATTCTTTAAATTTACAAATATGGAATAAATTAATTCAAATGATCTTGTTAAGCAAAGTCTTTCAGTTACGGCCATACACAGTGAAAAGCACCGGAACCCGTCCGATCTCCGAAGTTAAGCCACTGATGGCCCAGTCAGTACTACGGTTGGGGACAACGTGGGAATACTGGGTGCTGTAACTTTTTTTCTTGCTTTTGCATGTGGCATCACGTGAACGTCATAATCAGGTAAGTTACCATTTAACTGTATGATAATGTCATAATGATAAACTTTGACATGGTTCATGGACAATTTCCCAAAAATTTGTTCAATCGAATAGCATTATTTAAGGTTTCTCTTTATTCCGAAATTTCTCATTCAGATAGTCCGACCATTTTTCCATTTTTTTTTTTTGATCTCACTATAGAGGTGTGATAATTAATGTCAAAAATGTAAATAATCCTATATTTATCCAAATTAAGGTAGATTATAATATATAATGGGCCAAGTTTTTTGATTAACCGAATTAATCGATTTTTTCCTTCCATCCTTTATACCTTTTCTTATTAATTCAATAAAATGTCATCAAAAGAGTGTATTACATGTGGACACAAAAAAACGTCGTGGATTTGGTGCCTTGAATGCGAGCATCAAAGGTTTCGAGACAACTTTCATAATTGGACGAGCGAGAATAAATTAATTGATGATTTAATTAAAGAAACACAACTTTTATCAAGGTGTCCCGAGGAATATATCGAGTGGATACCCTTTTCTGATTTTGAATTAACAAAATATCATGGTAAGGGTAGACATAGTACCGTGTATACAGCAATGTGGCTTCGCGGCCCTTTATATAGTTATGACGTTTTAAGCGAAGACTACACGAGATCCGGTCCTCAAATGATTGCCTTGAAGTCTCTCGATAATTCAAAAAATATTACTCCCCAGTATTGTCGCATGGTAGGTTTTAACTAATTTTGTGAAGATTCTTTTTATAAAAAGAACCCCTTTTTTTTTAATTAATTTCATTCAGTTTATTTATTTAGTTAAAAGAATTTATTCGTCAGACTTATGAAACTAGTGATAAGTATTTTGAGTGGTGTTATGGAATAACTCAAGATCCGGTTTATAAGGATTATATGTTGGTGATGGATTACGCGAGGGAAGGGAATCTTTATGATCACATTAAGGATAAAACCATGATCAATCTAGATTGGATAAAGGTAATAGAAGATTGCTTTGAACTAGCAAAGATGCTGAATGGATTACACAACAGAAATTTGGTCCATGGGAACCTTCATGGGGGGAATGTATTGGCCACCATTGAAGGATTCGCGGTTACGGATATGGGTCTTGGGCATCCAGCAGACAAGGTTCCATTTGCAAAGATTTATGGTGTCTTACCATTCGTCTCACCTGAGGTGATTTGTGGTGGGAGGTACACGATGGCAGCTGATATTTATAGTTTTGGGATCATAATGTGGATGTTGGCATCGATGCAATTACCTTATGCTGATAGAGCACATGATTTGGAACTTGCAAAGCATATTATAAATGGGTTACGTCCAACTATTGATATATTCATCCCTGATTTATTTTTAAGTTTAATGAAAAGATGTTGGAGTGATAATGTTAAAAATCGTCCTACATCTAACGAATTATTAAAATTATTATCCGAATGGAGATATGCTTTGAATAATTTCGATTATACTGATGATGATTTTCAAGAACATTTAATTATTTCTCAAATCGAAGAGGTTGATGATGTTTATATGGATACGAACATCGTTAGGGAACATAACATACACGAAAAGGCGGTTTTTACGAGTCAACTTATCGACTTTTGTTCGTTACGTCAACATCATCAACAGAATGAATCTCCTATTGACAATTTACTCAAAAGTAAGCTCCATATATATATATATATATATATATATTATTTTTTATTTTTTTTTAAAAAAAAAAAACTTTTTTTTTGATCAACATTTTTTTTTTAAAACAGGTCATCTAAATATAATACCGTATGAACAATTTGACGAAGTTAAGCTGATCTCACATGGAGGATATAGTTCAATGTATTCAGCAATTTGGACGAAAAAAATCAAAGTTTCTTTGAAAATGTTTCGAGATTTTCCCGATGTGAATTATGAATTCCTTTCCTCGTTAAATTCATGCTTGAATTTACGACATTATGAAAGAGGACCGCAATATTATGGGATAACAAGAGATCCGATAACGCACAATTTTATGATCGTAATGCAATACTTTGAGAGGGGAGATTTATACAATCAAACCTTTTTGGATTGGAGGGAGAAAATTCTTTCCCTGTTGAAGATATCGTTAAAGTTAAAAGAAATTCATGACCTTGGATTAGTCCATAAAAACCTTCACGGAGGAAATTTATTCCCGATTGATTATGATGAATATGAATGGATTATAACGGACACGGGGATAACTAAATCAACGTATTATCATTTGTACGGAGTGCTTCCATATATGGCACCGGAAGTATTACAGTATAATAAGTACACCCATTCTTCAGATATTTATAGTCTGTCGATGATAATGTATATTGTCTTGACAGGTTTTAAACCATTTCACACTAAAAGTCATGATATTAAATTGGCCACAAAAGTGATCGTTCAACACAGGAGACCAAAATTTTACTTTCCCGAAAATTACATTCCAAACGATTATTTAAAACTTTTAAAACAATGTTGGTCTCATTCACCTTCCCTTAGACCTGATATTAATCAAATCATAAATCTCCTTGAGGATTGGCTGACCCAATTAGATCATAGGTCTTCCACGAGGATTACTCAACAATTCTCAAAATGTGAAACATCTGGGCGTACAAATCCAGCCGATATTTATTACTGTGAAGATGATAGTTATTGTAGTAGGGATTTTACTGGTTGGAAAAATAAACTTTACTTTTTATAATTAATTAATAATTAGGTACAAAAAGTTATTTTAAAATTTACAAATATAAAATACAAATACATTATTATTTTTATTTTATTTTATTTTTTTTTTTTTTTGGAAATTTTGGAAATTAAAACATTTACCATCTATCCAGTTAACCATTCATGCTGTAATGCCATTTTTGCGGTGAAGTTTTTCTTTGCGGCATCAAGCAAAAATCTTTTAAAGTGAATAAATTGATCTGAATAGTAATACCATTGCGTTGAATCTTTCAAATCATCAAGAAGTCTCCCAACTTGGTAAATATCATAACACGCGAGGTATGGTTTACCGGTTACAGCTTCTTCGGGCCAACGATTCCAAAGGGTAATTTGTAATATTTCATTAACCGGTCCACCTAATTCCAGATCGATTACCAACCACTCCCCATTATCCTGCCTTAAAATATTCCCCCAATATATATCCCTATGTGTCCAATTTGCTTGATGCATGTCTCCGAGAACTTGTAAGATCGTTTTAATCGCTGATTTGATCTCTATTTCACTCCTTGGGTAATGATAATGTCCCACAGGATGTAGAAAAATCAAACAAATTCCATCCCTAGTTAAAATTGGATGGGAGAGTTTACCTTCTAAATCCACACAATGAACTAGATTTTTAATATGAGACGTTCCTGAATAAAGTTCTCTTAATTTATCAAAATTAAACCTTTGAATCCTTTGTGTTAATAAGGACTTTCTTACAAAGTTACCCATAAATTCTATCGTCGTGTTACCGTCACGATTATATGAGAGATATAAGGGATAAGTAGGTTTGTCAATCATATATTTTGACCAATTTCTTTTAATCGAAACGAGCACGCTGTAAATGTTGATCACGGTACGAATGATTTTCAATCGATCCAAAGTTTTATCCATGTTAAAATCTTGAGTAACTTGCGAGATTTTGTTTCTTAAAGGGTCGAACGCGTACCATCTTAATTTCGAACCTCTCGAAATGTAAATGAATTTAAAAGGTAATTGTGAGTAGTAAATATCTTTCCAATGAATTTTATCAAATATACGTTGTATTCCAACTTCCCATTCGATGTTCTCTGGTAATTCCTCTCCATGAATTAAGAGATGCTTGTTAACCCAGCACATCCAATTTGGTCTTGATAAATCCTCTTTTGATTTAATAAAATTTCTTGCCATGAATAACCATTGAGACCTTTCTGTTTGTAAACAATTGAAAGTTCCTTGAATCAACATATCAACTATATGAATATAACCATTCAGATCACTTTCTTGACAGAACGAATTGAAATAACTTGGATATAGCAAAGCATTGATAAATGGCAATGTAATTGAAGAAATTGAGATGACATTCCCATTATCATCCAAACATTGATTTTGAGGTATAATGTATGAATATATTCGGGGATCATTCTCGTGACGGCATGATGGAACCGGAATCCTCATTGATAATGGAGTAGAAAGGAATCTTTTTAAATCATATATCGAAGGAACTTTATCGAGTTTTCTTGTAATAAGTTGTTGAAATGAGTTCTTATTATTGATTAAATTGACTTGATTTAATAAACAAAATCTTTTTCCTTCAAAACAAATAATGTTAGGTAAAACTAAAAAAAAATTTTTTTTTTTTTTTTTTTTTTGAGGTTAATGAAAAAAAAATTTTTTTAATAAAAAAAATGATTTGCATAAAATAAACTATTATTACCTTCAGGTTCACAATATATATCATCTTTATAAGAACCTGTTGTGAATTAAATTTTTTTTTTAAAAAAATAATTATATTTATATCGATATATATTTATTTATTTAATGAATAGAATTCTTTCTTACCGTGTATACGTATAATTTCAGCTTCTAAATGTAAAACCAATAATCCCGAGAGTTTCATCTTATAAAAATCGTATCTTGTCATTTTCAAAAAATTTTCCCCGTCAATTTTTTGTTCTCGAAATTTACGTATTAAATCTTTATTGAATAAATTTTGATGACAAAATCCTTCTACGTTGAACATGACTTGTAAATATTGCGCAAGTTGTTGGATGGTCCATTTTTTAACCGTTTCGATATTAACTGTTGGGAAGCTTAAAGGGTTCCAATAAGAAAAAAATTCTCTTTTTGCGACTTATTTTTAAAAAAGTAAAAAAAAGGTGTTAAAATTAATAAAACCGATAAAATTAAAAAAATTTCACTTACGACTATTTTTATTCAAGTTCTTTATATTTCCTGCCATTGGTTTAGTGATACAATTGTATCAAAATATTGAAGCAAACCAATATCCAAAGTATTTATATTATCTCGAGGTTCAAATTTTTTCTTTTGTACAAATTTCTTTAAAATATACATACGCCACGCATCAAACATTTTACTAAGCCATTTTTTTTTCACATTATAAGCCCATGTAATTTACATTTAAAAAAGGTTACCACACCATGGTTTTTCAAAAAAAAAAAATTTGGATTTACATTTTTTAAGATGATTTATTTTCTTTCATCTTGAAATGTTCACCACAACATGCTTTTTATTTACATTCATGGAATGTTAAAAGTAGATTTGAATCTTTATTAGGCGATGAATCTTTTTTTTCATCGTGAAACTCTTACTATGTAATTGATTTTGCTTTGACATACAAGGAATGTCATAAATATTAAGCCCCTCAGATTTTTTCATTATTATATAGATGATGAAAATTTTTGTTTCCATCTTTCTGCGCCACGTTTTACTTCATTTGCCTGATTAGGATTTGTATTCGACCTTATTTTGAATTGTCAAACTACAATATAATTTACAAGGAGAACGTTTCGAATTGATTTTTCTAGACCAATAATTAATTATTTATATGAATTACTCCGAGAATAATGGGTTGGCTTATCAAGACTTGATTAAAATCAGGAATATTTGTACATCTCATTAATATACATTATGAGTCTAATTAAGAACCCTCAATTGAAGATGGATATTAAGAATTATTTAATTATTTACATCATTTATATCCCAAAACATCCCCAAATGGAAATAAACGTATTAACACTTTTTTGTTCGAATAATTAATTTTGAAACGATAACAATTTATTAGAATTTAAAGAAATGAATAAAATGAATAACGAATTTCCATTTAATTGATGTAACACAATCAACGATCAGAGTTTATTACGTAAAAAGACTCCGAAAATGATTTTTTTGTTTAATCGAAACAAATTCTAAACGTTTACCGTTTCAACAAGGTTAGATCTCTTAACCGATATATTTTTTCAATGTAATTGATATATAGATCCGAAAAAAAAAAAAAAAAAAACCTGTTTTAAGATAAAATTCACCTATTACCTCGATTTATCGGTTCCCGAAACAGGGCGTTTCTCACGTTTCTCAACCCCCCCTTAATCCCTCTCAACATGATGAAGATAATGGATGACCTGATAGGCCGATAGCTTGTAAATGTTTATTTTAGATCGACCGGTATCGCGCATAAATTGTCGCATTAATCAATATATATAAACTTTTTTCCGAACGGCATTCTCTGTTTTCAGTTTTCTCAAAAATATTCTTTAAAGAAAAAGGAAATAACGGAATAGAAAATGGCTTCAAAATTATACTTGGAAATCTTACAAAACATTTTCAAATATCACAAAGATGATTTTGAAACTTTACATTCTATATTACTTGTTAATCGATTATGGGCGAGGGTTGTAATAGAAATTTTATGGAGAAATCCATTCAAATTTGCTCACATAAAAATATTCCAACCAAAAATTTATTACGTTTATAAGACCTACAAAGAATTATTAAATATTTATCGACATTTCATTGATGACGGGGACGGGAAAGAATTACTTTTTGATTATCCTTCATTTTTAAAGACTTTAAATTGGAAATATTTAAGATTTGAAGAAGATGGTGTTCAATTATTTAGCATGTTCATAAAAAAGAACAAAAGGATATCAAAGTTAAAGATAAATGACCTATCACGAGGGAATGAGAGACTTTTTTTTATTGACCAAGAAATTGTACAACGAGTAACACCTTTATCACAAATCTCATCTTTGAAAATTAATAATAAAAATCCTTTATATATTGAGATTTTTTCAAATTCTCTTAAAAATCTTAATACCTTAATTATCGATTGTTACTCTTCTAATCACAACGGACTTTCTAAATTTATAAGAGTTCAAAAAAATTTAAAGAAACTGATCATTAAGAGGGAATTCCCTGATATAAAAGAAGGAATAAAGTTTCAATCAAACTCTATTACTCATATTAAACTTGCTAAAAGAAAATATTTATGGAAAAATAATTCGTTAATTAATTTACAATATTGTATAAATTTAGAACTATTGGAATTTTCTAATTGGAATTTAGATAATGAAGATTCGCAATTACTTTTAAGAATGAACTTTCCAAATCTAAAATCTTTAATTTTTGATTATTCTACACTAGATTGTGAGGATTTAATTAGTATAATCAAAGTTCACGGATCCAATTTGAAATATTTGTGTATTAATGATTGCAAATTAGATCTTGATTTAATAGATTTATCAAATATCATTAACCAATTTTGTTCTCAATTATCAACTTTTAGATTTCAAACGCATTTGAAATATACGAGGAATTGTAAGTATTCAAAAATTAAAATTTTAAAAGATTTTATATTAAAGTTGGAAACTTTCCAATTGGAATTTTTAGATTCAGATGATCGGTCATTTCTTGAATTTAAAGCTCCTTTGAATTGGGAAAACATTATTATCAAATTTAATAATATAGCATAATTTTTTTTTTTTATCATTTTATATAATGCTTAAATGTTTAATATTACTAAATTTATGGATTAAATAAAAATATGAAAATCAGAATAAAATGAACACATTTCAATAATTATAATAATTACTATTAAAATTAAGATTATATACTGTATATTACAGATTTTTTTTTAAATTATTATTATAGTCAAATTTTTTACATCAATTATTAATAAAATACATTATAATTAATAAAATATTATGTTATAATTAAATTATTTTTGATATTAATTTGAAACTAATATATTAAATCATTTTTTGTTTATAATAATTTTTTTTATAAAAAAAATCAATTTACTTTTTTTTAATCAAAATAATTAATTAATCCTTGATAATAAAGTTTATATATAATATATATATTTTTTTTAATTTTTATTAATAATTTTGTTACAATAATTAAATTTATATATATAAATTGCATTTATTATTATAACTTAATTAATCCTATTTTGATTTTTAAGATTATTTATATATTTTGTTATATAGAAAGAGAATCTAAAAAAAATTTTTTTTGAGTTAATATTAAATTTAAACTTATTTACTAAAAAAATCATATTTAGTTTATAAAGAAAAATTATTTTTTTTGTAGTTTTATATTATTGCTATACATGAAGTCGAAATGGATCATTTCGGATATCCGAAATGGTAGAAATAGTCCAAATAATTTTTTTTTTTGATACTTTTACTAGGCACGCATAAGTGGTATTATATTTGGATGCATACCCTTCAACAGAAATAGATACGTCTTACAACACGTCAAATGCCACTATTAAC